CGTCTGGAGGACTTGGTGCCTATATCATGATTTTTTCCCTCTCGCATGGCTAAGGATCAATGCCCACAAGCGAGGTTGCTTAGACAAACAAGGTTGTTCGCTGTCATTGGCCTCTCAGGTCGAAACTAGGGCTAGGCTTTGGTCAGTGATTGAATAACCTTGTTTCGCACAGTCACCTATATCATGAATTAGGGTTTTTTTAGGATAATGGGACATCATTTGCACTCAGGAGTAATGACGTTCCGAGTCCAAGCCCCAAGCAGGACTGTCCAAACTGCCCAGAGACCCCAACATCCCTTGAAGAAGGAGTATTATATTAGAGTAGGATCCCTAACATGAGTTACGGTGTATTCCTTAATTAAGGGATATTTCGGGTCTTGGGGTATATTACACTATAATATTAGTAAGGAACCCCCAAAATTACGGTAGTTATTATTTTGTCCCTCATATTGGGCCTGAAAGCAGGCGCTGCACACGCCGAAGGGAGCCGAGATCTTTCTGAAGGTAGACCTCTTGGCACATGGGTGATTCTGTGAGTTAGGGTCCCTTTTAGAAGGATCTATACAGGTTTCTATCGGGTTTCTATAAGAAGAGTATGAGGGCAGTTCTCTAAATTAGGGTCCTTATTACAAGAGTGCCGTACTATATTGGGGACCGAAAAATGGACGCTAATTTTAGAGAGCTACCCACATGGATGTTGCAGAAAACGGGTCCCGTCTTATAGGGGGTTCTTACTACACTGGTCCCAGGATTTGGGATGCTGTTTATCAGTCAGGGTCCCTCATTGCCTGAAACTCTCATAAACTGGTTCATCAGGACTTCCCGGTGTTCAGAGGTCGACGGTGGGTTCTAGCATATGCTTTGATGCTGAGGGTCTAGGCGTGTGGGGCTTCGGGCCTCCGGGATATGGAGGAGGCATTGAGGTCATCCGTGTGATCGGAAAACAATATGATAAGGAGGAGATCGAACTTTGGGTGCGGAAGCAGACTCCAGTCCCAGAAATCGGAAGTACTTTGAGGCCGACGACGTCCTAAGGCTCTAATCACCGTTGAAAGGTTCGTTCGACTCCAGCGCTCCTGCAGCTCCAGACAGTTGGCCTGCCTGATGGCACATGATCTGCTTCAGGACATCCTCACAGGTGATGATGTTGCGTCGGAAGTCGACCTGAATGTCTCATCATAGCGCGACTTCCAAGGGGCTCGAGGCAATCTAAACGGATGCGCTGAGAGGGGGACTTGCAAAACTGTTGCAAAGGTTATTTACATAAAACTGCGGAATCGCCGCACTCCTTGAACTACCCCGAAAATAAACCCGGGCTGAATCGACGTCCGCGCTGCGCCATCTGGAAGGCTGCCATGTGGATCTGTAGGTAAGTACCTCACCTGGCCCAGTCCATGCTGCCGTAAAGGAATCAGCCCTTGCGCCACTGCTTGTCTAGCTACTCTAAAATAAGAATGATAATGATCTGAGAATGCCGATCGTGTTTTGCCACGACGAACAAGCAGATGCATGTGCATTTACCAATGATACAAGCACGTACATACAAATCTACCTATGTACAGTACACTACACTACATACAGTGACACACAGCGTTACTTGCTTGCTTTGCCTGCTTGCATACTTACTTACTTTTTTCTAACCTAGTGTGACCCTCTTCCTGCTGCCTAATTATATAGGTTCCTATCATAAACAGATGTGTCGAGTAGCATGTTGCGATATGTCTCTGTGGCATCGGCCAGTGATTCCCTCTTGGCAATCTACACCCTCTCACAGCTGCTACCCATCAAGACCTTCCATGCGGCAACACCAGCAGGAAACAATATCAATCAATCAATATTATATATATATGTACATATATATATATATATGTTTTGTTTACTTTGTTTATCTGTGTGTATATGTGTTTCGATGCAGAACAAGTGCGAGCAACCGAGCAACAGATATAGAATCATAGCCGCTGTTCGACTGAGCATCAACACATGGAACAGCCACCCACCCCACCCATGCTTCATCGCGAGCGAGACAGAGCGAGAGAGCGGGCGAGAAAGAGGCGAGAGAGGGAGGGAGAGAGAGAGAGAGAGAAAGAGAGAGACAGAGGGAGGGAGAGAGAGGCAGAGAAACAAAAGACAGAAAGAGAGAGTGAACAAGAGCGGGCAACAGGCCAAACAAGCGACTTCGTGAACTTTGGGGAAGTCCGGACCAGGCCCTATAAGTCTGTAAGTCATGCAGCATGAATCGGAGCCTTGTGGTACCGAAGGTGAGACTTCGAAGGGCGTTCAGGAATTCCCAGGCCGAAAAGAGGCTGAGGATCAGGCGTAGTCTGCCTGATCCGGATCTGTGAGCGAGCCGATCTGGTTGATGATGCGCCTCAAACAGTGCGCGATGCAAACTTGAATTTGTGGCTACTGTGTTGTTACAGTGGCTTCCAGGCTTCGCAGCCTCGCCTGTGGAAGCTTGAACTTGCATCTTGATCTGAAGTCGAGTGTTCTCCATAGGCTTCCGAGATTTCGTAGTCTGCATATTGTAGCAACTCCAACCCAGAATCCAAAACCCGGGGGTAGTGGTTGTCTTGAATCTCAAGGTTTCACTGTGGTGCCGGGAAGACAGACAGACAGACAGACAGACAGACAGACAGACAGACAGACAGGCAGAGAGAGAGAGAGAGAGAGCGAGCAGTCAGGTCAATGCGGTTGATTACACGCGTGCTTTGCTAGGGTTTAGCTCACTTCCCAACTTCGCTCCCTGTGATCGGGCTCTTTGGTCGCGGACAAGCGATAGGTGTTCCGACTTCCCGTTTAAGCCCGACACATGGAAATAAACCTTGAGGGGGTCTTCCAGAGCTGTGGCTGTAGCTTCTCCATAGTTCTACGCCCTCCGAGCAGCATGAAGTTCTCATTCCGCCAAGTACGTCTGTGAGTATTGAACATAGTGACCACTAGTGCAGCCGAAGCAGGCCCCTTCTGTGGCCCCCGTTCCGCAGCTGTCCGACGGCTACACATGTAACATGTCAGAAGCAAGAGGTGCCACGACTACGAAAACTGCAACCGCGCCGCCCCAGATACTGGTCTTCATCTTGGAGACCTGAAACGGTCGCCGAATACAATGACTGATATAATGACAATCAGTATTGAATTCCGATCCTCATGGACTGGACTGCTTTCATGTCAACTCGCTGCCAAATCCGAGCGAGACGTCCGCTCTTCTGGGGAGGTGTTGGTGTGGCTTCCCGTCTCTCTCTCTCTCTCTCTCTCTCTCCCTCCTCTCTCGCGCTCTTCGCGCACTTGGTTTATGTAGCAGCACTCCCTCATCTGAAACTTGGGCGAGGTGCGCTCGGACAGCCGCGGATCGCTGCGAAATGCCTGCACACTTCCCCATGCAGGTACACGCAGATCTGGGAAGTTCATGCAACAAGGCAATCGTCACAGACGGCCACGCTTTTGCATCTGGCAACTTGTGGTCCCTGACCATCTGTCTCAGATTGGTCGGAAGCCTAGCTCAGGTTGCGCCAGCAATGTCGTATCAGGCGTGCTACGCTGAAAGCTGCTGGTTCAACCATCTTCCTGTGTGTAGGTGAGCTGCAGCTACTCACATGAAGGGGCATTGGTCCAAAATCAACTCTGTGCTCGTGTCGATAGTACCCTGGTGTCTCAATGCTCTGGCTTCTTGCTGGCAGAACATGAAAATCGGGCTTGGCGCGTGAAACTGCTGCACAGGCCTAGCTCAAATGCATGTGAGCATGCCACGCTTGGAAAATGCTCCTTCAAGCAGGACAGACACGAATCAACAAAACCCTCGGAGACTTTCCCTGTTAGCGGATCATTCCCGCGAAGTGAAGGGGCTCAAGCGGTAGCGAAAAAAGCATACAAGGAAATTATCTGTGCCGGAGGAGGCTACGAGTCCTCTGAGCCACTGATGCTCGACAAGAACTTTCAACCAGGATAAACCAGGATGTTCGATAGCATGTACAGGGCGTTTGTTGACAGCGAGCATCAGCAAGCCAAGCTCAGCAGCATCCGATGGCGAGACCCGGCGCACTTGCCAGCAAGTGCATCTGCACCTCCACTGAGTAGTCAAGTGTCGACCTGAATCGGTAGGTGAAGGTTGAGCTTAGTGTGCCGCCGCACTCGCGGCTCCAAATCCAAGAGCGACGCAAACCCAACTCCCTCACATAGACATTCCTCACAATCGTGGCACACTCCTGAACCTCCCTTCGCCTGCGTCCTGGGTTTGTCATAGAGAGAAGCCTGCAAAGCCCACAATAAAACCAAACGAACCCTTCATGAGAAGCGTAACGGCTATGTGGAGCTTGGAATTGCTAGGGGCTGATGGAACCTCGCCTTTCACTTTACCAATATCCCGAATCTCTTCGGTTGTCTTCATGAAGGTCTCCGTATGCGACGGTCTGTCTGAGGTGCGCACCTCTTCAAACGATGGCAGAGCTGGCGGCCCGCTTGCCCTGTGGTTGGAAAGTCTCTTGTGATTAACTGCACGCATGCACACTAAACCGCAGCCACGTGTTTCGTCTGAACTTCGGTTCCAGAGTGATTCTGGTCGTTTGCCTGTAGGAGTCTCATGGTATGCATGGTCTAGTTCAGAGGTCAGGAAGTATAATACCGCTCTCGGATGTAGGATGGTTCGTAGCCACTGAGAGTTTCCAGCTTCGCATGCATAGCATGATTACAGGCAAAGAGGTTCTGCCCGCTTGGGAAGCATGGCACAGCCTGGAACAAAGGGTCAGATGCTGACAGCTCCTGAGCCTCTCTAGCTGGACGGCTGCAAGATTGGCTGTGTATCAGGATGAGAATTCCGCACGTTAAACCAGCTGCCGTGCGCTGTAGACGTTGCTAGTTATGTGCTGTCGAAACCTCATCCGACAATCCTGCCGAACTTCTCACTCAGTCAGCTCCGAACCCAAGAATTGCAGAAGACTTGACCTCATGAAGCTCTCTGTTTCCAAGCCTATTATACCGGTTCGAAGCAAAGCCAACAAACGTCCCACCTTGGCGTCACCGGGTCGAAGCTCGTCGCTGTAAAGCTCATCATCCTCATCCGCCAACTGCGCAGGGATGGGCTTGGAGTTCGGAGTGGAGCTTCTCTTGATAGGGTTTAGGGTTGCACTTTACAGCACTTAAGCATACACCTGAAGCACTCACATAGAGACACACTGGTTGCATGGTGCTGCGAGCTGTATCCGAGGCTGTTGCATCGTGACAGCAACTCGCAGCAGCAAGTGGCTGGGAACCACGGGGACTCGCGACTCGATGCAACATCCGATGTTGCACCAACAAGTCGCAGAAACATAGGTAGCTCTCTAAATTAGGGTACCCTTTGAAGGCCCTCTATTAGGGTACCCTTTAAAGGCCCTCTATTGGGGGCCATAAACCCTGATTACCGCCAAGCTTAGCGGTTCCTGCCTCTTCGACCACGCGGGGGTCGGCAGGGTTGGTGAATCCGTCCTTGGTCCCGTTTACATAATATATGGCACAACTTAGCACATTACATGGTATTCTGTTATACTAAATATATTAACTATATATCTTATACATTAGGTTAGATTAGATTGAAGACGTCATTAACTAGATTAATCTAGACCAAAAAATGCTCCGAAGTCCACAAGCGATCTGAACAAACGAGTGCTGCAGGTATCATTTAGGGGCTCAAGCAAAGGCATTCGTTACCAGCACAGGATCGGTCTCAGGAAAATTGGAGCCTACCTCTGGCACATGCCTCAGCCAAGCCTGAAGTGTAGTCCTGAATCTATGCCTAAGCCCCCTTTGCACACCGACACCTAAAGCTTGAGATTGAGGACCCAAACCCTGGACCCAGCACTACAAATACTCAGAAGGTAAACGCTCGCCTAAACGAACCTCATAGACCCGGATATCCTAAATCTGAATCCCAGGGCTCCGGAGGCAGCGCACCAGCTCCGATGTAGGTCCTGTAGGTGCCTTCCGCATCCTTTGCAGGAGAGAGATGCGCTTTGCGTGCAGGCCGAAGTTTAGGGGTTTAGAGTTGAAGTTTGGGTTTAGAGGCAGTCTGGGTATGGGCTCGGAGGTTCCGGTGCTGCTGCGAAACAGCGACAAAGGAACCGAAAGCTGACATGATGCATCAAGGAGAACCGATCGCAAGGGCCTCCATCCATAGCTTTGAGAGAAGTCTATAAGTCCTAACGGTCCTAACTCACTTATGCGACTCCGGCCTTCGCCGGCTTGATGCTCAGGATCCATGTCAGGGCCTGGGGGCGGGCCCCTACAGTAACCCAACAGCAGCTGATGTGGTGTTTCTCCAAAGTTTGAGGATGTCTTTGAAGGAATGCGTCATCGCAGCCAGCTTCCGACGCCCGCAAAAGCATCGCACTGCTGTGAGAAATTCGGATGCAGACTCCAAAACTCACCCAAACCCAGCCAGGGCACCCAAAGCACAGCGCCGCCGATGACAAACAGCCAAATCGGGAAGCTAATGCCTGAAAAGTGGGGGATGCATGGCGGCATGTCAGGCCGAGTGTCGTGACCCAAAGCACATCAAGGTCTCACGTCACTTCAATGAGCGAATCAAGACATACGCTACCTGTACTTGGCTCTGAAACCTGTAGATAGTACAGTTCCTACATCCTGAGGTGTACATGTCAGCGTTCGGGGTGCCCATGAAGGTGTCGGACTCCTTGTCCAACATCCTTGGCTGCGTCTTGCCGTTGCCGTGGAGGACTTTGGGAGTGCGGTGGGTGGGGGGATTTGGAGTAGTTCTTTGGATGTCCAAACTGGATCTTGGCTTCAGGGCCCTCAGGGTGGAGTACTCAGTCCAGCTCTCCAAGATCCTGGTGAGCAACGCAGGGAAGTGCACATCCTCGTTGTGCTGCACACGGCGCCAAAGGAACACACGACTTAATTGTATGGCAAGCCTTCATAGTGATGCCCAGGACTGATGCCACGAGCATGTCAGAGACTTCAGACTGGGGGGGGCCCTGGAACTCACAATCTTTGAAACTCCACAAAGCCAGCAGCCTTCAGATGCAGACACAACTGAATTCCAAATTCCAAAACCACAGCCGGTGATGCAAGACACCTTAAGCCCTACACGCCTTCCAGTACACATTGTTCAGGGCTTGCTTGTGCTTCAGCGGCTCCATGCCCATTTAAACCTCCACCCGAAACGGCCCGAAATCCGACAGCCCACTCCCAAAAACCCCAACAGTCCCACAACATCCAAAGCAACGCCCTGTGCGGCCGAAGCTGCCCCTGCCGTGTCTGGCCGATCTCCTCGAGCGGCACATCCTTCAAAGCCGAGAATGTCGGATTCGAGGCTTTCGACTCTGTAGTTCGATATGACGGATTTGAGTGGGAGGCCATGAGCATGCTCTGGTGCAGAGGGTAGGAGTTTGTGGGGGAACTCTTGCTCCGGATGCGAATCTCCAGGATTATCTCAAAAAGCAGGTGCAAGTGTGCATGATGTACTTGCTCGATGTGACCCATGTCCATGATGAGGGATAAAAGCCCTAGATCATTGGCCTGCCTCCCTGAACTTAGGGACGTCACAATTACGACGTTCAACGGTATCAAATGCCAGACAACATCCTATAGTTTCCTCGAGGTGCACAAAAGTCCATTAGCAAAGCCGTCTCGTATACATCTCGGAAACATGCTCCACGTACAACCCGATAATGTAGCTCTTGAGTGCGAATCCTACGTTTGTTCTCCAACCTCCAGCGGTGGCAGCGCAGCATAGGCCGCCTCGAGGATTCAATTGTTGAACAAGCCCTTTTGGGGTCTCAAGGATGCTCGAAGTAGATGCGGATCCGCTTGCCTGAGACCATCTAGAACACTCGGTGATTGACACTTCTGTAATATACGCACGCCTTTCCGAACTACCTAGAGCCCCGAACCCCAAACCAAAAGAGCTCGGAACCTCGATGTTCGAAAGAACCGCCATGCCAGCGGCCAACGGCGCCACCGGAACCTCTGCGCTTTTCCTCGACGTGGAGATCTAGCTCTCACAAGTATAACAGCACAGTCTGTTTTAAGAGTGTGGTATACTGATGTAAATACTACTTTAAGATCCTTGATGTTACTATATCATAGACCAATAAAAAGTTTGTCACAAGTGTAATATAATTACAGGCCCAATCAGCGAACATCTGCTGAACCCTGCGATTAAAGAAACAGTGGCAAACCTCGCTTGTTTCGAAGCTGACAGCCCTTGTACTTCTAATCAGCGAAAGACAGAAAGCCACCAAGACCGTAAAGCAACCCTCCACGAACCCATTTTCCTGTAACATAATGTCTGTCATTAAACAGAATGTCGCCAACTCCCCAGAGCCCACACCAAGACCGAAATCCCGTATCTTGCAAGGCGTCTTGCCCGGCGCCGCCACGAAGCACGGGGCAACCACCGCCGCAAGGGCAAGAGCTGCCGGGAGCAAGCGCAACCTGAAGACACAGAACTTCGAGCCGAGCACCAGAACCCTTACCCTCAAAGGACTCATATGTTAAGGCTTTTGGGCCCAAAGACCTTATTATATAAGGCTTTTGGGCCATTTTGATGCTAAGGGGAAGTCATCGGTATTCCGACTTTAGGGGCTTATGGGCTTATAGGCGGCTTGACTCTCGGACTTTCTGCTTTGAGTGCTTCGGGCCCGGTCTGTGCGAAGCCGTCCCCGAGACGGATGCCGGACAGCTCGCAATGGATTTCGGGCACGTCGATTTATCTGCGGCCGATAGGCCCCACAAACTCTAAGTAGAGAACTGCCCTTCGTACGAAAGAACTTCGGGAAGCCCGCATACCAAGAAAACCATCTCGGCACAGATTTTCTACGCGCGAGACCTTCCAACTCGAAACTTTAGGCCTGGCCTTATCGTTGGAGCACAGTCATCCCGCACAGCATGCCAACGCCCCGAGCGCATTGACTAGACTGCCACTGTTCTACTGGACAGCTTTATGCAACAATGCATGTCATGCGTGCGGGTATAGCTACAATGCTACACTGTTCTTGTCGTTTGCTTGTTTTAACCTTCACCCTGTGCCTCTAGCCTGCATAAGGCATGTGATGTGTTAGACACCCATGGAATTAGCCCGTTTCTGGCACAATCTTACTACATTTCATTCTTTGAATGGAGTGTTGCAGGTCGTGACATTCGCATTGAAAGTACAAGCCAATGACTACAGATCAGCCAAGAGGCTTTCGCATCTGGGTGGCGGCCATTGTGGCTAAAGCGCTGAGGTGCGAGAGGAAAGCTAGAGCCAGAATCCCCTTTGCGGCTACCGGGTGCCGCAAGCATCAGCCTCTTCCAGCACTGAGGGAGTTTCAGGCCTGAGGTTTTGATGACGTCCGAGTTCGCGTTAAACATAAAACGCCGGGTTGTATGAAGCTCTGGCCGTCCGGATTGGAAGAGGAGGTTTGTGTAGGGCCGGCCTGCAAAAGCTTTAATGATCTGATGGTCCTCGGAGCAACCCCCACTTGCAATAGTCCCTAGAAGCTCTGCTCCATTCAAAGTCGTGAAGCCGGATCTTACGGTACTTGGCGCAGGGCTTTAGGGCGCCAGCCTTGCGAATCTCGGCAGGTGAGCAGTTTGAAGGTTTCGCAACAAAGGGTTCCTGGAGCTTTCCAGCATGGATTCGTGTCAGGTCTTCGAGCTTGGCCAGCTGAATGAGCGGTGCTATGCCGTTCAAGCCGGAATATCGTAGGAGAGTGTGGCAAAGACTAGTGGACATGATCCGAAGAACAATCATGAAGGCTTTCAGGTGGGTGTTGCGTTGCGAGCGAATCCACCAAAACCCTGCAATGGTCTCCGAAACTCCTCCACTTTGTTCCCGCAATGTTTTCCACAACTAGACCTATGAAAGGCGCCACTGCAAGGGGCTTTGGGATTAGAGCCATTGCGGACTGGCCTGCAGCATGGAACGCCACTGTGCTTCTGTCTCAGAAGTGGCGCTCTGATCCTTGCTCTTTGTGTCTGAAAGGATATGACATGAAATCACACCTATTCCGACTAGCATCACATGCTCTAGTAGCCTAGTACCGAGCCCAGCATAGCCAATAGCATGCAACGGCAGTTGCGGAGTTGCGGACCTTTCCCTAGCTCTCAGCATTGGGCCCCCCAAAATCCTCGCAAGCAAGCCTTTCGGCCAGGAGTGTCTTCTCAAAGCGAGGCTGCAGGTCTTGAAGAGCCTCAATAACAATCATCTCACAAGCAAGTCTACAATGAGCCTTTGCTGGTCTTGGCCTCCTTCCCCAGCGATTCTAAGGAGCTGTTTCTGCAGCCGTAATCATGTGCACAGGCACGGCTTCCACGTGGGTGGTCATGGCGTGGATCTCCTGTTGCGAAGAGGATGGCTCAAAATAATTGGGCAAGATCTGGGGCGCTTGGGCCGCACACCCACACACCTACGCCTGAAGCTCAGCTGAAGTACGGTTTGGGAGATCTTTGGTCATCAGCACAACGGCATCCCGAAAGTCATGTTAAATAATGCGGATCAGAAACACTCACCATGACAATAACCACATCATGACATTCAGTCAACTGCACGAACGAGACATACACAACGCAATCTGTAAGCAATGGTTGTGGCTACAATTAAAAGGTCGCTGCCGCTGAAGAAGCTGTGCAGTGGCAGCAGCAGGGGCAGCAGCAGCAGCAGCAGCAGCAGGAGTAGTAGTAGTAGTAGTAGTAGTAGTAGTAGTGGTAGTACTGGTGGTAGTAGCAGCAGCAGTATTCGCAGTCGTCGTGGGTGTCGCTGTCGTCGCAGTCCTGGTCCTAGTCCGAGTCCTCGTCCTAGTCGTAGTGGTGGTAGTAGTAATAATAGTAGTAGCAGCAGCCTTGTCGGCCTCACCCGAGGTGATCTGCAGCACACGGGCTCCTGCGGCTGTCATAGCTGATAGCTGTCGTACGGACCAGACCGACTTCGAGCAGCAGAATACAGGAAACGCATGAATGCAAGTCCGGTTAAGGGGGGGCGGGGTGGTGTGGGCTATCCGATCCTCCCTGTGCATGTAGTGAAAGGGCACAGTGCCAGAACATTCTCAACATACCAGCACTCGCTGGAATTCGTTCGCCCACTCAACATCCTGACATTTTGTCGCGATGAATGTGTGTACGAGAGGCGACACGACACGAGGCCACGGACTTCGAAAGGTCTGAACGATGTGTGGTTCTCTGCATAGCATGGAGAAGACCCTCAACTCATGATTGCATATGATTGCCCTGCGGAAGAGTGACTACGACTACGACAGCACAACAACGGCATCATGCAGGATTGAGCATGGAAGTCTTAATTTCTGTTTGGTGCTCGAACGAAAACATTGGAAACATAGCTAAATGTCCCAACAATCGGCGTAATCAGCCTATATGGCGTTGGGGATCGTCTGGCTACGGGCGGTGCTTCGGGTTGGGCCCTTGCAACCCCGCAATCGACTCAGTAGCCAAGCCCTAGCGCTAGAGCAATTCCTTCGATCTGAGAACACCATACACTTGAGCCACAAAAACAAAACCTCTCCTGATTCTGTAAACCCTGCGAACTTAAAACTTGTTGTTGCTGTGAAAATCGCTCGTCGATGTTGCTCGTCTTTGTTATTGACCACTTTTATCTGTGATCTTGGAAACAACAAACACCCTTTCGTGCCGGGAGCCTGCGACGTTCAGAAGATCCGCTTCTTCCTGACATACGATGTATTTCGGTGTGTTGGGTCGTGCTGGTGTCAAGCAGGAAAGTCATTTCAGTCGAAAGGGCTGATCTCAAGACTGTGGGTAGCTCTCCCGATCTGGAAGTCAGAAGAAGACGTCCGCTGAAACGAGATTGTTCAGCTGGAGGGTGGAGGCTTCACATGAAGAGCTTGCGGCAAGCGACTGAGTGCGTCTTGAAGTCATCCAACTACTGCACAGATGTAGCCGGCCCGACCGAACCGGATGGGACCCTGAAGTGGGTGTTTTCGCCGAGGGCGTCTTGTTTCTTGAACTAAGAGCTTGCCCGAAGCTCTGTGAAGCCCCTGCAAATGCCCCGTACAACTCTATGGAAGCATGTGAAGTTGAGGGGCTTCCTGGCCGAAGCTTGAACAAGCAACGGGCCTCAGAAATACTCCACCTTTTGACGTTGGAGGACTTCTTGTTCATGACGGAAGCCTGTGCACGCATGGAACTTCGATCTGGGCTCGACGGAACATAGTCCAATGCTCTAGGCTAAGATGAAATGCTTGCACCGCCCATCAAGAGAGCTCGAACCAGACTTATCACATCCAGTGTCGCCTAAACGGCTAGCAGCACTGGTCTTTGCAACGAGTCCGACCTCATTTCATTTGCACGCCGCTAGTTTTGGTGTAACTTTTGACCATGACATTGGCTGGCGACACAGCTCTTGTGCCCAACTGCAAGGAGAACCCTCCGCCAGGTCGGGTCTGTACCATCACAGCTACGTACAAGAAGAAAAGCCAACACGACACCAGCACCAGGGCATGGCTTTGCAGAGCCCCACAAAGACCAGACACATGGAAAACAGAGGTCTTGCCTGTAGGTGTGTGTGGGTGTGTGTCAAGGCTGTCTTAAAGAAGGTACAGACTGACTCCAAAAATTCGCACTACACGCCGTTTCTTTTGCTTAGGCTTGCCTTGCTGTACCCACTGCAGCGCTGCACAACGACTCCAAAACAAGAGCTTGACTATGTGACGAGTACTGTCAGCAAAGAGACATGAACGCCATTACCAGTGGATCTGTTGCGTCAACCATGCCGTTGTGAAGCCCTAAGGCAAAAATCGGACCTGCATCTGCATGACGCGACCGAAGTAGGCGTAGTAGTCGCTGGCGAGTCCAGAGATTAACTGCCAGGGATAGTCGAAGGCTGTTGCCGATCTCTGCAATACCGTGACTCATGTCCACCAGAAGATGAACAACAATGCAAAGACCATCATTTGCGAGATCTTACTCTTGCTTCATCTGATGCATGTGTCCTTTTCACCAGTAGCTACACACGCTGCACTCGATCGGCTTCGTAAATGTGCACAGTTGCCGTTGGTGGGCATGGATCGTTTTGCATAGAGCATGCGGCACCTGCCCAAAGTAGGCACGCTTGGTTTGATTATATTTTCACGGTCAACGAAGGAAAAGCTCTTGAAGTCGCAACATTGAGCGCGGCCTCACCTCGCCTCCATTACAGTATCCGCTTTTTGTGGCAGATTCAGGTAATTATCCAGGAGGGTGTTACAACAGCTGCTCCCCCATCCGAGATTCAATCCTTCACAACCCTTCAAGAACGGACAGGATATTCAGACATCTGAAGAGCCAGAATCCCACAGAACCTCGCCCGCATCCGACTCGCTGACCGGCTCGAAGCAGAAGCTGAAAAACGCATCGATGCAAAGAAGGAGGTTTCCTTTCAACCAGCTTCGCTGCAGGGCTTAACCCCAAGAGCCCGCGTGCAATTTTCAGCATCCCTGCAGGGC